TAATTCGTGATAAAACATTAGTAAGGAATACATGTGGAATTCGTGATAAAACATTAGTAGGGAATACATGTGTAAATCGTGATAAAACATTAGTAGGAAATACATGTGTAATTCGTGATAAAACATTAGTAGGGAATACATGTATAATTCGTGATAAAACATTAGTAGGAAATACATGTGTAATTCGTGATAAACAATAGTAGGGAATACATGTGTAATTCGTTATAAAACATTAGTAGGGAATACAAGTGTAATTCGTGATAAAACATTAGTAAGGAATACATGTTTAATTCGTGATAAAACATTTGTAAGGAATACATGTGGAATTCGTGATAAACATTAGTAGGGAATACATGTGTAAATCGTGATAAAACATTAGTAGGAAATACATGTGTAATTCGTGCTAAAACATTAGTAGGGAATACACGTGTAATTCGTGATAAAACATTAGTACGGAATACATGTGTAATTCGTGATAAAACAATAGTAGGGAATACATGTGTAATTCGTGATAAAACATTAGTAGGGAATACATGTGTAATTCGTGATAAAACATTAGTAAGGAAGACATGTGGAATTCGTGATAAAACATTAGTAGGGAATACCCGTGTAATTCGTGATAAAACATTAGTAGGGAATACATGTGTAATTCGTGATAAAACATTAGTAGGGAATACATGTGTAATTCGGGACCCAAGTATTGTACTGGATCCAGTATACCATGCCGAGCTCTTTTGTCTCTTAACCAACCGTTCGGTTATCAAGTACATTGTATGTTTGTTTGATAAAATGACATTATTTCACTCTGATACATGTAGCCAAACGGAAAAAAACTACACTCATTTAGCGGTCAACGGGAGGTAACTCAATATATTGAGTTGTATTTGGCGTATCCATCCTTTGGGCACTGTCCGCTAATTTAGTCTCATTTCACTTGAAATACTATTTCTTTGTTTTGTTTTAAAGAAAAATCTCATATTGGTGACTGACAAAGAGGATTTGTTCCATTACACAAAGTTGTGTGACACGAGCTTGTTATATTAGGCGAATTCTTATTTATTAAAACATAAGTAAATGAGCTCGGATTTTAATATTGATTAACCATGTTGAGGACGTAACAGGACCATTCCCTTCAGCGAAAGATGAGGAGCGCCACACCACTCAGCTTTCCTAAATAGCGAGAATTGTTTTTTTTTTTTTACAATAACACCTGCATAACGAAGATTGCAAAAGTGAAGTGATTCGTAATAATTATTGTAATAAAGTTTATGAGCGTTGCTTGTGTTTATGGACGTGCAGTGTACCATTTTCAATATACAGCGGCGTGCTTATTTGGTAAAGGTTGATATTCGATTCTGCCAAAACTTGCATTTTTTGTTGATTTTTTTTCAAATTCTGATATCACTTCGTATTAAAATTTCATTTCCTATTTCGCAAGGGTCATTGTAATTTGGTATGCCTCCCTACCGACCAGTTCGTCCATCCATTCTTGTGGTCAAGTTATCTCCCCTATTTACTACGGTAACCAGCTAGGGTTTCCCGTACCGACTCAAACAGCTGTTAACTATGTATTAGAATCTCTGTTTCCAGCGTTACTATAGCTTCGATCATTCCTGGAAATAAATAATATTTTACGGATTTTTTTTTATGGACAACTCATAAACATAAAATAGAAGAGATTTTTAACAGCAACATCATCAAGTGTAAAAAGGTGAAGGAGTTAGATCAGGGCTCGAACTCTGGGCCTCCGATCATTATACTGTCGCTCTAACCAACTGAACCACCTTTGAAACGAAAGTATCCAGGCCCAGTCACAATACAGCTATACATAACTATGTGTGCTATAAGTACAGTGGACTTCCCTACAGTGTTTCCTGCAGTGGGACAGACATACTTTAACAATTCACTTACACACAGGAAACAAGAAATTACCGAAGTGTTAACAAAACCATAACCGGAACTAAAAATCGATATGTGAACAAAGGAAAGATTTACACGGAGGCCACTGAAATAGTACAAGGAGAGTAGAACCAGGAGTTCCGTAGGGTACGCCTCTTCTGCTCCATCGTTCACCTGCCATGTTAGGTCAAATCCAAGAAATGACACTTCTTCACATCAATTACTCGGGTAATGACAACAAAACCACAAGGCACTCTAATGAACATTATCTAACCAACGACCTCTATATCACACAAATAAATAATTAAGTTCCCTATGAGACCAGGATGACGACCATACAAATACTTGTCAATAGTATCACCTACCTGCATCTTTTGAAACCTTGTATTGTAAGTTCGTCCGTCAGTAGTCGACATCTATCACGGAAACCCTGTGTTGTAAGTTCGTCCGTCAGGAGTCGACATCTATCACGGAGTGATGACATTCGGAGCAAGCAGAACATCGACATAGACTGTTCATCAGATAAGTTAAAATGTCCAGTGACCTTTTCTGAGAACTAGTAATGTAGGTTATTCAAAAAATGGCTCTTATTTACACTTACAATGTACCAAAATGGATTTCTGCAAGAAGGTCTCATTTAACTTACAATGGTTCTGTTGAGATTGAAGAAAGGCGTTTTAAGTCTAACTATAGCTGATGTCAGTTTACTGCATGTGTTATGCATACATATTCATGGTCTGTTATAACAGATGTGAACGTGGTTTCTCTTCTCTCATGATGACAACAGTATGCCTACCCGCGTGTATGCATCTTCGCTAGCCAAGTGTTCGCTTCGTATACACTCCACTTAATGACGTGTATGATGACTTTTAACTTGTATAAAGCCCCAGCGGCCAAAGGGAGATAATTCCAAATACTACTTGTAAAATCGATTCGACGACAAAGCTGTCCATTAGCAGACATTCTGAGAAGGCCGCGTTATGTTTGAAATATCTTAAAAAGTAAAGCGACATTAACCGATTACCATTTTCCTGTGAAAAATGTACCAGTTCTAGCACACAATTAAATGGTAGTTTTGAATACCATACATAATCATTTATATCTTTTCAATAAAGGATTTCACAAAGCTACAGACAAGGTGTGACAGTAAACCCTCCAGAATATTACAAAAAAGTCATAATTCTCTTTGTAAATTTTATTCAATCTTTTTTTAATGATGTTTGATATTTGTTCAAAAACTTGCAAAAAACATCAATCAAATCACAGGGTAGGAAACACACTTAAGTAGATAATATATTTACAGAGTATCATGTAAATCACAGTTAAACCGAACCACGGGGGACATTAGGAATTAGTCCTTTAAGGGAAAACATGCTTATATAATTATTAGATCATGTGAAGTATAGATAATTAACAGTATTACACATGGTAATGACGAAAAATAACATAATATTTATAACACTATTACATATATACATACATGTATCATGTAGATTTTCTATGATGGAATGATGTATCTAAACACTGCCCAATGGTCAAAACCCAGTCAAATCGTTAGTCGTACGAGTAAAATACCAAACAGACACCTTTAACAACCAGAATTTCTTTCTATCAGCAACGATTAAAACAACAATATCATAAAAGTGTCGTCATTTTATTTTAAAAACTAATTTCGTTGTAGCGAGTGAAATAGATATTGTTCGGGGTGATCAGGAAGCTGAATCAGTTATGTGCTCTGAACGTGCAGTGGGAATCCTACATATAAAGCGTTCAAATGCTTCAGAACAAATTGTCGTTACTGCGTTTGAAAACGGACATCATATCTTTATCTATTTAAAAGGATTTCAAAATGGTAATAAGGCTCATAAAGGTCTAGAATGATGAGAATGATAAAATGGACACAACATAAGCGAGAGGGTAGGGGTAGATAACAAGGTCAAAGCGAGGGAAGGGGGGTAGATCCCAAGGTCAAAGCGAGGGAAGGGGTAAATAACAAGGTCAAAGCGAGGGAAGGGGGGTAGATCCCAAGGTCAAAGCGAGGGAAGGGGGTAGATAACAAGGTCAAATCGAGGGAAGGGGGTAGATCCCAAGGTCAAAGCGAGGGAAGGGGGGTAGATCCCAAGGTCAAAGCGAGGGAAGGGGGTAGGTAACAAGGTCAAAGCGAGGGAAGAGGGGTAGATCCCAAGGTCAAAGCGAGGGAAGGGGTAAATAACAAGGTCAAAGCGAGGGAAGGGGGGTAGATACCAAGGTCAAAGCGAGGGAAGGGGGTAGGTAACAAGGTCAAAGCGAGGGAAGGGGGGTAGATACCAAGGTCAAAGCGAGGGAAGGGGGTAGGTAACAAGGTCAAAGCGAGGGAAGAGGGGTAGATCCCAAGGTCAAAGCGAGGGAAGGGGTAAATAACAAGGGCAAAGCGGGGGAAGGGGGGTAGATCCCAAGGTCAAAGCGAGGGAAGGGGGGAAGATCCCAAGGTCAAAGCGAGGGAAGGGGGTAGGTAACAAGGTCAAAGCGAGGGAAGAGGGGTAGATCCCAAGGTCAAAGCGAGGGAAGGGGGGTAGATACCAAGGTCAAAGCGAGGGAAGGGGGTAGGTAACAAGGGCAAAGCGAGGGAAGGGGGGTAGGTCCCAAGGTCAAAGCGAGGGAAGGGGGAAGATAACAAGGTCAAAGCGGGGGAAGAGGGGTAGATAACAAGGTCAAAGCGATGGAAGAGGGGTAGGTCCCAAGGTCAAAGCGAGGGAAGGGGGTAGATAACAAGGTCAAAGCGAGGGAAGGGGGTAGATAACAAGGTCAAAGCGTGGGAAGAGGGGTAGATAACAAGGTCAAAGCGAGGCAAGGGGGTAGATAACAAGGTCAAAGCAGACAGATTGGAACGAAGAGGAATAACAGAACAGTTTGTACATGTCATCAATATATTAATTATACCTAGCTTCGTCGGATACAAAACATATAAAGCGATATAAGATTAGACTGTGGGAGAGGCATAACAGTTTCGGGAAAGGACCTCTAGAAATACCACTATACCATCTTGGGGTGTACATGTGTATCTCCAGTAAATACTGAATAGCACCCGGGAACTTGTAATCCGAGTTTCAGCTCGGTGTGTTATATGCGTGAGGTTTTAGCTTCCGTAACCAAGGATCAAACAGGAAAATGTCACGAAATATAAAATAATTTTAAAATATCTTCAAAATGGCAGATACAGAAGAAGCTTCAAAATGGATGCTGATTATGGTGTAAAATTGTGAAAATCGAGATATCTGCCGTTTTTGTCATCGTTATTCGTTCGAATTTGATTAATTAGTTATAAATATACACACCTGATTGATTTATTGATTGATTGATTGATAGGTTTTACGTCCGCTTCACTACCGAGTAGTTCGGTTATCCAGCAGACGATAAAAACACCAAACCCAATTAATAATGCAGTAATCATTTTTCGGTTGGGTTCACTTTCCTGAAACCGCAACTCCCCAAAAGACTAGGTGCAGTGGAATACTGGTTGTACCTAGTAAGCGACAAGAACAGCTAAGGTAAGCTAATTCTAATACCAATATTTAAAAGTCAATTATATGAGATTGGAATTAATTGAAAAAGGAACTAGCATGCAATTTTTCTGAAATCACTGATGCTCATTCTGCTTGGATATCACTAAGAAGTGCAAAAGCAAACTGCTGAATTTTTTTGTCAATCCGGCGTATTATCGATAGGTCTCAGCGACCACTTTTTAATATTCTGTACCAGAAAATACTCTAAATGTGTTTTTAATAAGCATAACAACATTCATATTCGTTCCACCAAAAACTATACAAAATATTCTTTTGAGAAACTTCTTTTGGAGGCTCCATTGGAGAAATGTAGGTTTGCTGATCATTTAAATGAATGCTGGAAATCATTTCATAATATTGTTATGAAAGCTTTAGATTATACTGCTCCTTTGAAGGAAATAAGACTTAAGCTAAAAACAGAACCGTGGATGACGGCAGAAATTCTTGAAGAGATAAGAACTAGGGATACATTTTTTGCACACATTTAGAAAATTTGGCCAAACCTCCGACTATAAACATTACTGCAAACATAGAAATCATGTGCAGAGAATGGTAAGAAAAGCTAAAAGATTGAGGAAAACAAAAATGATTCAAAAAACTTATGGAAACATTTCAAAAATTTGGTATATGAAACAAAAAGAAAAACGAATATGAATATAGTTTTGAACATTGATGGTGAAAATTGTCATGAAAACTAACCATTGCAAATCATTTTAACATTTGTTTTACAACCATTGCTTTCAAACTTGTTGAAGGCCTTACTCCATGTAAAGGCTTATTCAAAACCTCACAAAATTTGATAAAGTCTTTCTACACTAGGAGAAATCCAAAACAAAACCAACTTCACCTCAAACATGTTTCTGAAAATTTTGTATTTAAGGAACTTTGTAATCTCAATATCACACTTATTGTGATATTGAGATTACAAAGTTCCTTAAATACTGATCTGGATTGTATTCCAGCTTGGTTTCTGAAAGATGCTGCATCAGTAATCAAGGTGACTGTAATATTTTTGATAAATATGTCCATATCTGAAAATGTTGTACCAGGTGATCTCAAGATTGCGAAGGTAAAACCACTACTCAAGAAAAAAGATAAATTGAAGGCTGAAAATTACAGACCTGTTAGTATTTTGAGTATTGTTTCAAAAATTCTAGAAATGGCAATTCATAAACAACTTGAACAATTTCGTATTTTTCAATTTTTGTATGAGTTCCACTCTGGTTTTAGAAAATCCTATTCCACTGACTCCTGTTTAATTCACCTGGTTGATCACATGAAGTCCCAGACGTCTAAAGGTCTCTTCACTGGAATGGTATTACTAGACTTACAGAAGGCCTTTGATACAGTTGACCATGGGATTTTGTGTGATAAACTTGGGGTAATTGGCATTGAGTCGGTGGAGTGGTTCACATCATACCCTACCAACAGGAAACAATTAGTTAATATCAATAATGTGAACTCGGGTATTTGTAATATAACATGCGGAGTACCCCAAGGGAGTTTATTGGGACCCCTTCTTTTTCTCATTTATGTAAATGACATGCGGATCAGTATTGACCTAGGATGCAAATTATTTCTGTACGCAGATGACAGTGCAATTATCTTCTCAAACAAAGACCCAAAAATTATTTCAAAATTTCTAAGTAAAGACTTAGAGTCATGTCACGATTGGCTAACTGATAATAAACTATCCTTACATCTTGGAAAAACAGAGAGTATTTTGTTTGGCCCCAAAAGGAAACTTTCCAAATTACCTGAAGGCTAAGTTTCTGTTTCATGTTAGGGTAATATAATTATGCCTCAGGTGTGTGTTAAATATCTTGGTATTATATCGGACAACTTTTTATCTGGAGAACAAATTGTATTATAAAAAAAGTGAACCAGAGATAGTGGTTTCTATATAGACACAGCGACTGTCTCAATATTAGATCAAGAAAAACCCTGGTGTCGGCACTGATCCAATGTCATTTTGACTATGCTTCTAGCTGCTGGTTCGAAAGCTTATCAAAAAAACTTCGACAAAAACTTCAAATTACCCAGAATAAAGTGGTCAGATTTATTCTGAAACTTAACAACAGATCAAGAGTCACCCACCGGGAATTGAAATAAGCTAATATGTTGGATGTTGGGGGCAGGGTGAAACAGCTCCGTTTTAACCATGTCTTTAATATTCAACATAACAAATGTCCATCCTACATGTATATGAAAGAATATTTTACTAGAACAGAGAAAAAACACTTTACCAGGAACAGTGATCTGAATTTCAACATTTCTTATATAAATGGTGTGGAATCGTCATCATTTTTCTATAATGCTATCAAAGATTGGAATAACTTTGCACATTCAATAAAATCTGTAGATCAAAAGATGAAATTCAAAAGCGAGATAAAAAAAAAAAGCACTTACAAGATTTGGCAAAAACTGATTTTGAGAAAGAATTCATCTTCTAAAGGTAATTTTTATTCTATCCTAGTGGGAGACTCTAAACTTCTACTAATAACTATATGTATTACCAAAATTTTAACTAAAGTACTACTTTGCAATGTTTTATTTTCCAATCTCATTCAAATGAGGCTGGAATTTTGTTCTAGTTATACTATTTTTGGTGACTACAAATTCAATATGTACTTTTTAAAAATGTTATGGAAGATTTTATAACCATCATCCTCAGTCTTTATTTTAATAATAAGTCATTTATATATATGTATTATACCCCAAATTGTTATAATTTGATAGACAGATAATAGGTTGGTAGGGATTGGCCCAACCACCTGTTGTCTGTTCTACACACGAGTAACACAGTATAAATGTATATGGCCTAACACCATCTTATATTGTTACAAAATATCTACAAGAATGACATCATCTTGCATTATGATATAAACAGTAATACATATCATTGTTATTTTAATATTACAAGCGGAAATAACATCCTGCACAACCCCACATATATATATATTATTAGAAGGCAATCTTATTTCTAATGATACGTAAAACACAACTCCATCTTATACTGTCAAATAATATAACATCTTATTTTGATGAAATAATATAACATCATCATTTTTGACCAATTAGTACAACTTATTCTATTCATGTATATACTATTACGAGAAATTGTACCATCTTATATTGTCAAATCTTAGGACCTTTTGTTGTCTAAGTAATTAAGATCTTTACTAGAGGACCCATTTGGAAATAAGCTGCCACCCAGCTTTCATGGGATATCCTAGGTTAAAGCTTAGTCATCATGATCCATTGTATTTATAGTGCTCAAAAAATTTGTGATATGAACATTGATGTGATAATCTAAATACTATGATAAATCTGTGATTATTATGCAATTGAAATCTGTGATCTGTGAAAAGTAATGCGGAACCGTTGTTAGCGGAAGCAGGATTGGCTAATATCGGAAGGTTAAGTAATAGACAGACAATGATAGGACTACTTACTGATTTGTTACACCATAAAATAAAACTCACGAGAAAAATATATTAAAACCATTCAATCCACCCACAGTACAAAAACAAATTCTTAGAATACGTTTTGAATTAAGAAAACGAAATAAACTTACTCTAATAGTCAGAATAAAACATAAATCTTTGAAAGAAGAGATTAACAACATAGACACATTACGGCCTGGATTATGAGAAGCTGGGATATGTAACATACAGTCTGAAAAAGCTCTGGGTGACCAGGTGACATTAAAGTAATAAAGCAACGTCGAAAAAGACATCGATGCAAAAAAGCTGGGGGACTCTTGTGTATCCGAGATCAACAAAATAGAGGTAAAGGGTTCTGGTCCAGTTACCCAAGTAGCTCTGCACCACAGGAGTTACGATAGATACTATTTACTAACGGACATACTGTCGGAGGTAAAAAACGGACGAGAAACTGAAAACCACTGGTCTGACTATAGGAAGTACAAAAAAACACAATGTATTCTATTGTATAGTGTGTACGTATAAGAATTCCATTTCGTTATTGATCAACACAGATGGCACCTCTACAATGGCCAAGGACTTTTACGAATATTTGTTTCTATATTATTTATTTTATGTTTTTATACAACCATTAGCTTGGAAATGTTTACTTATGCATTCACGAACAACAAAGTAATTATTTTATGTTTCCATAAGGCTACTGAACATATCTTAAAAATACTTAGGTGCATGTATTATCTATGTTGAGACATTTATAGTAGGTAACGGATAAAAGTAATACCATACTAGATTATAGTACCTTTCAGAATTAACAGTCAGTTCTGGGTGTAGGATGGCTGCCTTATGACGAGTTGGAATTGTTATGTCTGAGAAACAATCTTTTGTTATACATATATATGAAATATTACATTTTGCTGTCGTATGTTTATGTGTAACTGTACAAAAGATAAAAGAAATGTAGGTGAAGGTAAATATATAAAGGAAAACTGATCTCTTAAAATATAACAAAAACACATGTGGGATTATTTTCAATCAAACATGACGGTTGACTAAATAACAACTGGGCTTGTCATGCCTAGAATGAAACAGGTTAAAAGTAATTGATATAAAAAAAAAAAAAAAAGTATATCTTTTAAAGATGTTTAGAAGTGTATTTGCACTTCGAGCACTTGCCTCGAATTAGTCACTGTTTAAAGATTTTATTTTATTTTATCTTAAAACGTTTTTTCAATTGATAAGTTTCATAATTACACATTAACTAAGTACTAAGTCCTTTTTTTAACATCAACAATTTTGTTTTTCATTTGAAAACTAAAATACATGTAGCATACGTATGCTTTATGTAAAAAACAAAATTACCATGCATGGCAAAATGGTTTTATTAAGAACTTTAGTGAATATTTTCCTGTAGTTCGGTATAGGAATTCAGTTCATTACAGAAAAATCCCATTCTATCCAGCATTGCCAAAATCGAACTTTTTTTTTTTTTTTTGAAACCTGGTATGATAAAATGTATTGGAAGAAGGTGATTTCAAAGCAACTTGTACTTTGCAGAAAAAGTATATTCAACTACCTAGGTGTTGCTAACTGTCCAATGGAATTTTAGTTTAATTATGTGTGAATCTCTAAGTGAAGGAATGTGCATATCTCTAGGCGAAGGAATGGAAGTACATCTGTTTCAGAAGTGTAATATCATCAATGCGCAGAAGAATTTTCATTTCCAGCAGATCACTTTCCATGAAAACTTGCTTGGTTCCTTGTAACCTAGACAATGCTCTATCGTACCTGGAAGTAAAGTAATAAGCTGCTTTTAGTATCTGTTTATAGTTCATGCAATCTTATATATAGCACCAACCAGTAATTCTATATTCGTTATACTGTAAAGAGGAACAAACGCTCACCTGGGTTTTTTCACAAGCTAAATGTAAAATATGGTCCCTGTGAGGTATATACATAACTAATACCGTTTAAACATTTTCTCCCTGGGGTGTCTGTTTGAACATACTTGTGTATTGATCCAGATAATAAATTCCCCACTGATGCAATAGAGCGTCACAAAAAAATCTTTCCGAAAGAATAATTTGAATTTGTTCGTGTAGGGTCTGTGTTTTTACAACATCTTAGGTCATACACAATGTATGGCGATCATGAATGGTAATAAGACTTATAAAGAACCGCTTTAAAGGACTTACATCACAATATTGGATACTTCACCTAGTCACAGTACCTGGTCATTGGCTAACTTACGGTGCATAACAGAAAAATTATATAAAAACCCGTAAAACTACCCCATGTCGGTCTGGGTCTTTTATTTGTCTCTAAATAGAGAGAACAAAGATAATCCCCGAGTATACACAGTCCCATTATACTAGTCACATTTGATATCTTGTGTGACACATATACCCTAAAGCTATTTAGAAGGGGGTACAGGACAAGGCAAGCTACCTGGTATATAAAAGGTCATGTGACTACAATAGATCGTCAGACAATAAGTACTCACTGCTGCTGGACAAGCTGGTGTTCTATCTCTTCTTCACACTTCATGAAATGATCTAGATTGTTGGGGTTCAGTCCTGCAAATGACAAACGATTACAGATATTAACAAAATCTCTTGAAAATATATAACTTACTTACTGAAAGGTAGATAGTAAAGACAAGCTACATATGAACAGCATTAAATATAAACTGACGGGGGAGGGTCCAAAATGGCCCCTCCTTTGATCTCAGTTTTCTTTTGGTGAAGTGAAAACCTAAGAGTACGTTTTTCGTAGAAGCATAAAACTGAAATTCTCAAAAAGCCGGAATTTTTCCCCAAAAGAAGAATATTTTCAAACTAACAATGCACTGAAGGATCATTTATGATGCAATCGTTTGTTTGTTTGATTTTGTTTAACGTCCTATTAACAGCTAAGGTCATTTAAGGACGGCATGATGCAATCGAAACTACGGATCAAATGCTACAGTTTAAATATACATAAAAAATCCCTTGCTTTGGTAAGTTATCAGATATGCACTGACAAATCAACAGCCAGAAGCCATCTTAAGCAATGCTATTTTCCTGGCAAAAAATGTGTTCATCTTAGGATAAAAGTATCTTATAACTTTTGTATACCAAACATATTTTGATTATAGATAGACTAGGTTCCGACAAAAATATCAATCCAAAATATGGGGTGGAACATATTCAAAGAAGGGATCAAATGACTATATGGGATATACATCAAAATTTATAAGTATCGTCTAATCCTTATGATTGAAAACTTGTTCCAAATATGATGGAATTAGTATTTAATCAACAGAGAAGATGCTTGAAAAAGATTCGATGTTTGATTCCTTTTCAAGATGGCCACCAAAACATTCATTTTACAGCCCAATCAGTTTTCAGATTCATAGACACCTATCAATATAATTCAGAGATTGTGTGTTTGTTTGCTACTTTGCTTTTATATATATATTAGAGTAAGGCGTCGTTTTAACAGCTGATGACGTTTACAGATAATTTTTTGCAAGATGCAAGTGTATGAAATGTTTTCGAATGGCAGACTGATGCAAGGCTNCCCCCAACTTATTTCAAGCTAAGTCGGAAATTATTAACCCTTGGGTGCAATTGTTATGGATTTTGAAGATTGCTATAATAGCCAAGATAATACAGTATACTTGATGTATGAGCACACATTCCCATAGTTCTTTTACCAACTTGGCATTGACAGTAGTAATCTTTTACTGGATTATAACCATTTGGTGTCGCGTCATGAATCCAAATATTAGATTTAGTCTGGAACAAATCTGACAACGGATGAGGTCTTGAGAGTGCTATACGCCCATATTTCATTATCTTCACGAATTCTGAATTTGTTTTCTTGGTGAGAGCTATTTGTTTCCACTCTCTGAGCCAAACAGTTTGTTTTTGAAAGTAGAAACTTCTTTTGATGTGCAAGGTCTCTGTCTTTTGTGTCAGTTTCCGGTGATCTTTGATAAATTTGTCCCCGTATTCAGTTGAGACATGCAGTTACAATCTTAAGCACTTCCTCAATTATATAAATGAAGCAGTTTGATATTAATTGAGTTCTAAAATTATCAAACGTTTAAGACGGCCATGATACAATATACAATCCATCGGGATTTAGTAACTGTTCTGTCAATATTAGCCTGTAGATCAGAGTGTTGGCTCTAATCAGTCTTACTGATGCGTGATGCCTTTAACATTGACAGGACATCTCTAAACCCACGATCAACGACTACATTGTCATCTTGCTCCAACCATATGAGCTTGCCCATGTTTTTTTTTGTAATACTTGCATCATTTTGGCTTCCAGAGAATGGTCCTACTGCGTCCAAAATGTAGCCATCAGGTAGAGCTATGTTCTTGAATTTAAGATAATTATGCTGCTTTTGGCCAACGTAAGACATTTCTTATGGTCAGCAATTTTTTTAATATAAATATATGTACCATCTATCAAGGCAGTCACTTTGTCTCCAAAGAATGGTTTTAAGAATAAAGTATTTATGAAAGTATATGTCCCCTACTCAAATGTGGTAAGGACCAATGAAAACTGGAACTATAGATTTATTCAATGCTTTTACTACAGAATGAAAGGTATTTGAAATACCAGGCAGAGAAATGACAAAAAGAGCGGAACACTTAATTACAAGAGGTATCAGATTTCATCATAACCAAAAACTGTAAAAGAGTCTTTACTGGAGAAGAAAGAAAAGTGACAAAGTATGAATGGATTTTACGAAACGGTTCTTTGATCAACCTGTCCAAGCTTTGCAGTCGAGGTCATCCAAGAGTAAAAATTGAGAGCGAAGGCAAATTGATTCTTTGATAAGACGTACGACACTTTTAAAAGGTCATCAATTATTTCAGATGACCTAAACCATAATTGAAAATTACTTATAGTATAACCTGTGTACAAGGGTCCAGGTCATTGCCAATAAGTAAAAATGAGAATACACGTGATGACGAAGAACACCACAATATGTGTGTAAATGCAGAATTGTGGATTTGCTTCCCTTCGAATTAGAATTGTTAAAACAAAGACAACATTTTTTTATGTGAACAGGACCCGAAAACAGGTAATTGATTATTAAGAGAGGAACACTCCTAGTAGTTTCATCTTCAAAAAGTTCTTTTTCAGATTCTATTTTGCGCAGATACCTTATGTAGCACTTCGGACAAAAACTAACTTTTTCATATGAGCAGTCTATGCCACTTTTAGTCAATATAACAAGAAGCCATTTATATTATGGATTTGTTTTACATTTTGTGTACCTTTACATTTACGAGATTTTGCGAAGATACGATGGCGACCTTCACCAATATATTTACTCTTCATTATGAGATGAATATTAACAAACGAGTATGAAATATCCTCTAAAAGCAATGTAAATATGAAAGTCTGATGATAAAATGTATAAGAACAAATTCTAAAAGAGTTTAGAATTGATTGGTAACAAAAACTATCAATTACGCCAAGTGATGAAGCATATTTGAATTTGGAATTTGTTGTGGCCTATTATACACTGAAAGGTTTATTGTAGGCTTGCAACGATTTTCATTACTAATTACCTGCCATCAGGTATATTGTTGTTTGGTGGATGTCAGGGAGGTGTCTTGTGCCCTCACCTTTTTGGGTACGCAGGGTACTTTGTTGTGCTTTTTTTTTGACTGAATTTTTGCATACATATTTGAAATATCACAACTTCTTCATACTATGGAATTTTTCGTATACAAGATTAATAAGAATGAAAAATCCTACATTTTACATTAAGATTTTCACAAAATGTTCCATTAAACTCACATTCTGGATGTAAATACATTATTTAAGAACCACATACAAGAAAATGTTCTTTCCTAAGTATTACGATGCAAAAAATACGATTTTTTTTATGAAAATTCTTTCAGACTAATATTCCATTTTTCGACCCCCATGTTGTAATTAGGTTAATCAATCATTAAATAATTAGTAGAGTGATTCAAAGTAATAACATCGAATGTGTACAGGATTGAAAAGAGTTCAACAGCAGCATAAATCTCGTAGCACTTCTGAAACAAAATTTATGAGGGGGCAGGCTCTTTTGTAAATTCAACATAGCTGGATATAGTCCCTTTGAGGTTAACCTATGTTATATAGTTTTTTACACGTATGCTACACACAACTAACCTCCACTCATAATGTCAGTTTCGGGCACAAACCCTTCATCCAACATCCTTCTTATTTCATCCTCAGCAATCACCCATGGTAACGCAATCTCATCCTGGTTCTCAAACCTGGTCACGGCAGAACGTAAGTCATCTATAATAACAAGGTCGAGGTCATCAGTAGTACCAGAGCATATTGTGTGACATCCTCATATCTTCGAATATGAAAAATAGTTTACCTTAACCCTTAACAACAAAAAATACTCCAATTATCAGTTTCCTGATCAGTAATTACGCATTTATTATCATTGATGTTGGGAACATATAATTTTTGCTTGCCATAATTATAGATAATCAAAATGAGTTTTCAGGGTTTGTCGTGAGAACAATTTTCCTATGGCGAGCACGTGGATAGCGATGAGAAAATTGTTCGAACGATCGAACCCTGAAAACATTTTATGATACACTGTTAATCATCTATAAAACGTCAACTAAATATCGTATCTTCAAAATGCCTTCAAGGCTTCATGATAGTTGAGATCCTTGGTCTGTGACAAACGTAAACAAACATCGGCGCGGATGAATACCATGAACCTTAAAACTATGTAGAAAGATACTTTTGAAACAGTATTATCATCATTGGCTTCTCCTTATGTACATTAACCCTGAAAATTGGTGTTTTTATCGCTACAAAAAAATGTCACAACTTCATAATGATTTGTTTATGGTGGACTATTTTCTAACGCGAAACACCTTCGTGTAGATACTATTTGTAGTTCATGGCGTCCCCTGGAGGGAGTAGACCTTTCTTTTCAAGAAAATACATTCCCAAATTGTAAAACCCATTCTCAAGTCTTTTTCAATATCTTCTTGTATTTTCTCATACTGACAACTCATGATGATGCATTTATCATACCACTGGTATTTGGTATAAAGTAATATATAATAGACTTGGTTGTGGTATCATTAACTCAGGCGTGATAAAACGATGCAAACACTGAGCATTTGCTGAATATTTCAATCGCAATCTCAAAACAAAAAACAAAAATAAAAAAAGATTAAGCCGTTGGAATTTTAACTTTGACCTCTGTGAAGATGTCCCGCTAACTCCTTAATGCTCCAATATCACAAATATCTAACCATTGAAAATAAAAGGTCAGGGACAAAAACAGCAACATCCACTTTTTTCCATTAGAAGACCCTTATTTTAGGGAACAAAAACAATCTTTACAAGCTAGCCTAATACAGTGTACCCATTTCAGTCAATATTTCAGTAGATGGGAAAATAAAGATCATGTGAATAAAAAATCAATTTTCAAGGATCTTCATAAAATATGTCTCTCGTTATTAGCCAAAATACCTAATTTCCTTATATTCATTTGACCATTGTTCCAGCTGTAAAGATAACTTTTGTGTTTAAAATACATACCATAAGTTTCATCAAGGTATTTAAAAATAAAACAATAATAAAGAACCTCTAATAAAGAATATGTCTCATTAAAACAATATGTCTCATTCAGAGGAGCCTGTCATCACGAGAGAACACTTTATTGTATCGAACAGATTTTACAATAGTTTAAATTTTGAATTTAACAGCAAGTAACGTTTTGCTGTTTTGTGTACAGTACCAATCATAAGGAACGTCTTGTCGGTTTGGGTACAGTACCAATCAAAGTAACGTCTTGGTGCTTTTTGAACAGTACCAATCATTAGTAACGTCTTGGTGCTTTTTGAACAGTACCAATCATTAGTAACGTCTTGGTGGTTAGTGTACAGTACCAATCAAAGTAACGTCTTGGTTGTTTGTGTACAGTACTAATCCTAAGTAACGTCTTGGGGGCTTGTGTACAGTACCACAGTACCAATCATAGGTAACGTCTTGGTGGTGTGTGTACAGTACCAATCAAAGTAACGTCTTGGTGCTTTTTGAACAGTACCAATCATTAGTAACGTCTTGGTGGTTTGTGAACGGTACCAATCATAAGAAACGTCTTGGTGTTTCTTTTAAAGTACCAATCATAAGGAACGTTTTGGTGTTTTATGTACAGTACCAATCAAAGTAACGTCTTGGTTATTTGTTTACAGTACCAATCATGAGTAACGTCTTGTCGGTTTGGGTACAGTACCAATCAAAGTAACGTCTTGGTGCTTTTTGAACAGTACCAATCATTAGTAACGTCTTGGTGGTTTGTGTCCAGTACTAATCATAAGTAACGTTTTGGTGGTTTGTGTACGGGACCAATCATAAGTAAAGTCTTGACGGTTTGTGTACAGTACCACAGTACCAATCATAAGGAACGTTTTGGTGTTTTATGTACAGTACCAATCCTAAGTAACGTCTTGGTGGTTTGTGAACGGTACCAATCATAAGGAACGTCTTGGTGGTTTGTGTACTGGTTTGTGTACAGTACTAACCACAAGTAACCTCTTGGTGGTTTGTGAACGGTACCAATCATAAGGAACGTCTTGGTGGTTTGTGCACCGTACTAATCATAAGTAACGTCTTGGGGGTTTGTGTACAGTACCAATTATAAGTAACGTCTTGGTGATTTGTGTACAGTACTAATCACAAGTAACCTCTTGGTCGTTTGTGTACAGTACCAATCATAAGTAACTTTTTGGTGTTTTGTGTACAGTACCAATCATAAGTAACGTCTTGGCGGTTTGTGTACAGTAACAACCAAAAGTAACGTCTTGGTGGTTTGTGTACGGTACCAATCATAAGTAACGTCTTCGTGGCTTGTGTACAGTACCAATCATAAGCAACGTCTTGGTTGTTTGTGTACAGTACCAATCATAAGTAACGTCTTGTCGGTTTGGGAACAGTACCAAGCATAAGTAACGTCTTGTCAGTTTGTGTACAGTAACAACCAAAAGTAACGTCTTGGTGGTTTGTGTACAGTACCAATCATAAGTAACGTCTTGGTGTTTTGTGTACAGTACCAATCATAAGCAACGTCTTGGGGGTTTGTTACAGTACAAATCGTAAGTAACGTCTTGGTGTTTTGTTTACAGTACCAATCATAGGTAACGTCTTGGTGGTTTGTGTACAGTACCTACCAATCATAAGTAACGTCTTGGTATTTTGTGTACAGTACCAATCATAAGAAACGTCTTGGTGGTTTGTGTACAGTACCAAGGGTATGTAACGTCTTGGTGTTTTGTGTACAGGACCAATCATAAGCAACGTCTTGGTTGTTTGTGTACAGTACCAATCATAAGCAACGCCTTGGTGGTTTGTGTATAGTACCAATCATAAGCAACGTCTTGGTGTTTTGTGTACAGTACAAATCATAAGTAACGTCTTGGTGTTTTGTATACAGTACCAATCATAAGTGACATCTTGTCGGTTTGTGAACAGTACCAAGCATAAGTAACGTCTTGGTGGTTGGTGTACAGTACTAATCACAAGTAACCTCTTGGTGGTTTGTGTACAGTACCAATCATAAGTAACGTCTTGGTGGTTTGTGTACATTACCAATCATTAGTAACGTCTTGGTGGTTTGTGTACAGTACTAATCATAAGTAACGTCTTGGTGGTTTATGTACAGTACTAATCACAAGTAACCTCTTAGTGGTTTGTGTACAGTACCAATCATAAGTAACGTTTTGTTGTTTTGTGTACAGTACCAATCATAAGTAACGTCTTGGTGGTTTGTGTACAGTACCAATCATAAGTAACGTCTTGGTGTTTTGTGTACAGTACCAATCATAGATAACGTCTTGTTGTTTTGTGTACATTACCAATCATTAGTAACGTCTTGGTGGTTTGTGTACAGTACCAATCATAAGTAACGTCTTGGTGGTTTGTGTACAGTCCCAATCATAAGTAACGTCTTAGTGTTTTGTGTACATAACCAATCATTAGTAACGTCTTGGTGGTTTGTGTACAGTACTAATCATAAGTAACGTCTTGGGGTTTGCTTACAGTACCAATCACAAGTAACGTCTTGGTGGTTTGTGTACAGTACCAATCATAAGTAACGTCTTGTCGGTTTGTGTACAGTACCAGTCATAAGTAACGTCTTGGTGTTTTGTGCACAGTACCAATCATAAGTAACGTCTTGGAGGTTTGTGTACAGTACCAATCATAAGGAACGTCTTGGTGTTTTGTGTACAGTACCAATCATAAGGAACGTCTTGGTGTTTTGTGTACAGTACAAATTATAGGTAACGTCTTGTTGTTTTGTGTACGTTACAAATCATTAGTAACGTCTTGGTGGTTTGTGTACAGTAACAATCATAAGGAACGTCTTGGTGGTTTGTGAACAGTACCAATCATAAGTAACGTCTTGGTGTTTTGTGTACAGTACAAATCATAGGTAACGTCTTGTTGTTTTGTGTACATTACAAATCATTAGTAACGTCTTGGTGGTTTGTGTACAGTACCAATCATAAGTAACGTCTTGGTGGTTTGTGTACAGTACCAATCATAAGTAACGTCTTG